AAACACAAAACACAAAAATAAATACACAAAAACACAAAATAAATACACAAAAACATTATTCTACATCCTACTTTGGTGAGTAGCGACTGGGATCTTAAAAGCTTGCAAGAAGTAATCTAAAATGCAACAATGGGTCTCTCCTCATCTAGAACAAAGAAGAATGAAGAAAACCAAAGATGCATGGAAACAATTAGTGGACCATGTGAATCTCAGCCTATATGACCATGAGACCAGAAGAACTAGATGTTGCCCAGCTGCCACTGTCCACCATGTAGAAAGGGCTCAGAGCAGGAGATCCTGGATAGAGTGGCAGAACAATGTAGAACAAAACTCAAAATCATAAAAATACCAGGTTTATTGGTCTGATAGAGCCTGGTGAAACCCTGGAGACTATGGCCCCTAGTTACCCTTCAGGTCTGGAATTGAATTCACTCCCATGGCTTCCAGCCAAGCAACAGACAGGCATATAGGATGAACATTTATACCAAGTAGGTACACTTCTTAGAACGATCATAGAGAAGGGCATTATTTGCACAGGGAGATAGCTCAGGGGACAGGAATGCATAGAAAAGAAGGACATAGGGAAGAGGTAACTACAAAAAGGAAGTGGGAAGAGAGCTCTTATACAATGTGGGGAATTGCAGTCAATGTCATGAAACAAAGTGTGTATGAACTGCTATATGGAAAATGAATTTGCTCTGTAAGCTTTCACCCAAATCACAATAAATTTTTTAGAAAAGAAAACATAAAAATGAAAATTAAAGGTGCTTCAGGAATTTCTAATGATCCATGGAGCAGAATCTGAAAACCACTAATCTAGTCTGACCTCCTCATTACACAGTTGGGAAACCCAAGGCCTGTAATTCAAGCAGTTAGTGGGCAAGCTGAAGACTTGAATTTGTCTTCTGTCATGTTGCTCCTTTTCTGCTTGGCAAGCCAACCAGATAACTAACACAAGACATAGGAGTCATTCTTCTTGATAATTTATACATTCCCAATCTAGCAGTATCTTAACAGATTTATACAACAAAGCTATAAAAGAATAAGTCATTTGCCATTTAAATTGTATAACATATTTTTTATAGACTCTGAAAATTTTCATTATACTTGAATTCACAGTCTCTGCCATGGCATACAGGCCTTGTTTCATCTGCCTCATGCTCCCTAATTTATTTGACCATCTCCTCCCCACCATCCCCACCTCTGCTGCCCACCCTGCTCCAGCCACGCTGCCCTTCTTGCTGTTCCTGAAACATACCAATCATGTTCCCTCCTCAGGACTTTTGCAGTAGCTGTTCCCTTTGCCCAGAACTCTCATTCTAATTCCTCACTGTTCCGGAGCTTTGCTCAAGCATCCTTGGCCATTCAGTTTAAATAATAACTTCACCTACTTCCTAGTACTCCCTATTGTCTTCCTTTACTTTCTTCACAACATGGATCATCAGAAGACATACAATTCTCTGGTTTGCCTACTTATTGATAAGCTACATAAAAATATAAGCTCCAAAAAGCAGAAACTTTTATTTTTTTTTCATAACTGAATCCACACCATCTAGAATAGTGAAAAGTACACAGTATGTGTTAAAATATTGATAATTGTAGGAGTGAGTGAAGGAACAAATGAAAACTGAAAAGAATGATCAAACCATGAAAGTGGGAGCTACCATGAAGAGTAGGTATCTTGGGTAGGGAAAGCAGGAGTAAGAATTTTTTAAGGAACATACAGGTACCACCTTACCTTTAGCTACTCTCAGTTGAAATAGAATATAATAAATGGCCTTCAAAGCACAACCAGTTTCCAAAGAAATACTTCATCCACCGAGCTAAACAAAAACAAATATTTCTAATACTGACAAATCTCTACTTTGAACTTAACCCTATAATTAGACAGCCAATTGTGAATAAAGACCTTAAACATCAAAGCTAACTAACAGTTGAAGAGCGTAACACTCTTTGTTTTCTGCTCTTTTTCATCATTTCTAAATCCTACCAAACACAGTAGAGTTGAAATACGGTTCTAGCTTAGACAGTGCAAGAAGATACAATACAAATAGCTCTTTACAACAGAAATACAAATAATATGTTTTAGTTTTTTTTTTTTCCTATAGTCTTCAACCTATTTGATATGTCCAAAAGAATAAAATCCAGGTTCTGATGGTAAAAAAGAACATGTGCAGTTAATCAGAACAATGAACTAGAAAGATGTATCATTCAATGTTCTGAAAACCTAGACCCAAATTTTTAGTTTCCCTCTGTCTAATTCAATGGTTACTGAATTAAATTCATTCTCCCAGCCCCACCCCTTTCACTATACTTTTTATTTCCTTGTTAAAGTGTTAAAATATCTAACAGAAATTTATATGTAAATATGTTATCTTTAAAATCGTAAGCTGGAGTATAATAGTTTCTGAGGATCTAGATTTTAAGATAAAAGAGACATACAAAATACTACACAGAAAAAGAAAAGGGAAATGAGTAACAACGGAGGAAGGAAAATAAATGCTGAAAAGAAAAATAATAGAATGAGAAAGAAAAAGGAAGAAAGGTACAAGTACAAGAAGGAGAAACAGTGAAGAGAAGCCTAAGAAATGACAAAAAGTAGTATGTGGAGAGTTAGAGAAAACAGCATGCTAGGAGCAACAATCCAAGTCTAGGACAATTGAATAGATGTATTGAGAAATCATGCTTATTTCTAACATTCTTAGACTCCCTACTTGAAACCAATCATCCCCTCACACAAATCCCAGTGTCACTTATCTCCAACACTTCTCTTTACAGAGGATCTAGGAGCACCTTCTGGAATTGCCTTATTTCCTAGGACTGGGAGTGACAGACAAAAAAAAAAAAAAAAAACCCACCAGCACTTGCACACAGTTGATTCAGTTCACAGTGACCCCATGTGTTATAGAGTAGAACTGTACTCCATAAGGTTTTCAAATGGCTGATTTTTCAGAAATAAATTGTCAGGCCTTTCTTCCTAAGAACCTTTGGATAGACTCGAACCTCCTACCATTTGCACCACCCATGGACTCCAGCACAGACAGATAAGTCTCTTAAATATTTATCAACAGGATGGTTGTATTTTAAAAAAGTGTAACCCATTGAGAGTGGTCTCAAGAGTACACTTACAATTCTCATCTCCTTCACTCACTTCTCTTTACAATAAAGAATTTTTTTATTAAAAATAACTCTATTGTAAAGGAAAGGAGAAAGAATATTCCTGACAAAACTTTAAATGTTCTCCTTTTTTTGCAAAGTTATCTCACAAAATTCTGAGCATAATCTTAAATTCTAGGCTCCCTATGATTTCAAATATGTTTCATAAATGATCTTTTATTGTCCACAAATAAGCCTATCGCTTACGAAAGAAAACATACTTAGATGAGTTTTATGTCTGCAGAGAGCGGCAGTAAGACAATTAGCAGGATGTGCCTCTCTGCTAAAAATGAAAAGTATATTAGATAATCCTTTAAAATATATAAAGTATGTCTTTTAAAAATGAATTAAACAGCCTCTAAACAGTTAAATATTTTTAGTCAATTGCACTCATATGAAATTATTACATTATAGCTTCCTCTTTAGCAATATAAATCTATTTGATTCAAAATCCAATCAATTAAATTGCAAGAATTTATTAAACTTAATTTAAGTAGCATAACTTATGATTGGCTGCTTAACAGATGGTTGTTGTCAATGTTATGTTGTTAGGTGACGTAGAGTCAATTATGATTCACAGCGACCCTATATACAACAGAATGAAACACTGCCTAGTCCTGTGCCATCCTCACAATCATTGCCATGCTTGAGCCCATCACTGCTGCCACTATATCAATCTATCTCATTCAGCTCCTTCCTCTTTTTCACTGACCCTCTACTTTACCAAGCATGATATCCTACTCCAAGGATTGGTCCCTCCTGATAACAATACCAAAGTACTAGAAATAAAGTTTGACCATTCTC